TAACGGACACGGAGTCACACCTATCTCCGCCGTTCTAACTAAAGGGCCAAAAAATGTAGCCTGACTCTACACGCTCAGACAAAAAGGGAGATGCTCTTATTTTTAAAACAGGACAGATACAGTGAGAATAATGCGGAGGTGCCGGCGTGTCAGTGTTTATTCTGCGGCGTGCCACATGTGGCACACGTGCCCTAGGTTGCCGACCCCTGCCATAGACTGTATATATTAACGGACAGAGTCACACCTATCTCCGCCGTTCTAACTAATGGGCCAAAAAATGTAGCCTGACTCTCGCCAGACCCATGTAGTTCGCTGCACACACGAATCTGGTACTGAGCCATAGTGCCTTGTTAAAAAAATCCTTGTATGTGATTGGATAGACCACTTGTCCGTTATCTTGAATGAAGTCTGCTTTCAACCACTCACATCGAAGCACACGGCTCCCATAGGTTGCCAAATCCCAGCAAGATTTTCCAACCCAAAATCCGCGAGAATACCCACACAAAAAAAACCATCAGAATGATTTTTTTGGCTAAAAACGTAATATAATCAACTTGGGCTATCATTATTCTGTTTATTGTCTTTCTGTTTATTTAATACCTACAAGTCTCTTGGAAAAAAATATGCGGGAACCACCAAACCTGGCAACCCTGCTGCGTAGTGTGTAAACAGGAACACTAAACCAGTGCTTCAACCAAACTTTACAGGAACATTCGACTCTTAAAACATATATCAACATAGAGCCATCTACATCTCGCCTCAAATTGCATTAAAAGTGACATCCGTGTCTTAATTCGATCGTATTTACTCTTTTAAAAAGATTTGCGGACTTTACGTCCGCCATCTTGGATTCCTCTCGCTGCTGCATGAGAGAAACTTGAGAAGGCAGTGCAAACCCCACGTAACACCGGCAATCCTGATTTGTCGATTAAAAAATTATTTGGGGAAGGCGTTCGCTATGGCGTCGATATAAGTGGGGGACGGTCCCAGCTCAAAAGTGGCCAAAATGACGTGCGCTGACATGCTTGCAATACCACCCCGGGCCGTTGGGGGTGGACCCAGAAGAAGAATTAGCCAATGCTAACATATAGCGTTAGCAGACCTCTCAAAAACGTCTTTACAGGATGGACCAAAAGTTGGCTCTTGCCCCAAAGCTCCGTTCCACATGTGTGTCAATGCTGAGGGGGGTGAATTTTTTTGGTCCACTCTAGTTTACTTGCGGGGAATTTTTGAAGTCTTTCGTTCACATGAATGGAGCTGCGCTAGCTGACGCATGCGCAGATGCGTTTTTTCACAATTTTCTTGTGGGCGGGACCACTCGCGGCCATCTTGGATTGCTCCACGAAAGCACTTTTCATGGCCAACTCCTATGAACGGCGGAGATAGGCGTGACTCTGTCCATTAATATATACAGTCTATGGTCGATACCAGACCCATGTGGTTCAGCCAAACACCTCTGGTGGAGCATGGCGGAACTACAAGGGTCTGGCAGAGCCAGGCTACGAAAAATGTGCTCTACCGGAGCAATCCAAAATGGCTGCGAGTGGTCCCGCCCACAAGAAAAATGTGAAAAAACGCATCTGCGCATGTGTCAGCCGGCGCAGCTCCATTCATTTGAACGAGAGACTTCAAAAATTCACAGCAAGTAAACATTAGCAGGAGGACTGGCAGGTTTTACAGTGATTCTGGACATGGTTTTTTTTCCTTTGAGAAGCCTGTGAGCTAAACATTCAAACCTTTCAGAAACGGGTATAGCTCCTTTCTGCAAGGTTTGCTTGTTTAGCGCCGCCTCCCAACTCGCTTACAGGCTTCTCGTTTCCACTTAGCGGAGCCTGTGGCAGCCGGATTGGTCCGGAAGTTCAGTTTGCGCATGTCAAAAAGTGTAAATAAACATGTAAACAGTTTGTGTTGTTATATACAGATTATATTATTGATTTGTGCTCATATGTACCAAGGTTTTACTACGAGAAATGGCAGAAAAAGAGCTCAGAGAAAAAATACTTTTAATAGCCGGCAGCTAGCGCCCAGATGTGTTTCTAAGGCACACGGAGATGAGGCTAGCACATTGACAGTTTAATAGGGCTGGAAAGTCTCGTCCCAGAAGCACTTCCAGTTCATTGCTCGGATACAAACAAACCGTCAGCTGTTCGAAGAGGCAGTATAAGTGAATGGTGCAAAATGCTCTGCTTTGTTTTCGGCCGTAATCATCAAAGTTTACACAAAGCATGCTCATTTTTTTAGGTTTTCCAAAGACCAACTGAAGCTGTGAGAAAAGTTATGCAGTTCTGATAAAACATTTTTTGTCTGATTTTACAGACAGTTAACTTGAATATGTAGTCAAGCTAACTTGTAGCTAATGCTAACCTGTAATAGTGCGTGGCCAAGCCTTTAATTGTGGCTGGTATTTTAAGATAAGAAACTTTATTGATGTCACACAGGAGAAATATTGTCTCTCAAATATTAATTTATTTAATATTAGCACATATTAAATAACATTTAACAAATGTTCAAATATAACAGAAAACGGACAATCCTTAGTATTAAATGAATAGATAACCCAACTACATCATGTTATTTTTGACAGCACAGCAAAAAGGAAAAAGGCGCAATGTGAAGCTGCAGTGAGTGTGAAGTGGAGATGGAGCTACTGAACAGATAGACAGCTGATCATTCATATACATTGGCTTATAACAAAAGCAGCAAAAATAGCTTTAAGGGACAACATCAATTTATTTGCATAGGAATAGTGTTTCCATATTTTCTTTCTGATGCATTATAGTAGATTAAAATACAATGAGTTTGAACACGGCCCTGCACCTTTCTCATCTCCCCGTCATATAGAAACTTCAGGACATGGTCAGTTCACAGCTACTGTAACTCCAACCGCTCACTCAGTTTTTCTGTCCCAGAGACAAAATGTGTCCAAAATAACACAGGAAAGTCCATTAACGAGGAAGATGTCGGCGATCTCGGCACCATACAACTGGCACGTGTGGTTTGTTTGTATCCACGGCTGGAAATCTCACAAAATCTCGCACTTCCGCTTTCCAGCCCTATTCTTGATTAGATTCACTGTCCTTTACTTGTTTAACTAATGAATAAACACAGAGATACACAAAACAGTTGTATGATATTTAAGCAAGTTAAGGACAGTTAATCTAATCGAGCATTAAACTGACTATGTGCAAGCCTCATTTCCATGTCCCTTTGAACGCATCTGGGCGCTACTGTAGCTTCGTGGCCACTAGAAGTATTTTTTTTCTCGGAGCTCTTTTTCCGCCATTTCTCGTAATAAATCTTGATACACATGTGCACAAATCAAGAATATAATCTGTATATAACAACACAAACTGTTTACATGTTTATTTACATTTTTTGACATCCGCAAACTAACTTCCGGACGAATCCGGCAGCCACAAGCCCCCTAGTTGTATTTGCGATCTGATGCTAACATTAGCATTAGCGCAACTTAAAGGCGCTATACCCGTTTCTGCAATGTTTGAATGTTTAGTACCGCCCCCCAACTCGCTCAATGGCTTCTCATTTCCCCTACGCTCTCATAACACAGAGCCACCTAGTTTTATTTGCGATCTGATACATATGCTAACATTAGCATTAGCGCAACTTCTCGTAAGCTGTGCAATGATCACTGATGAAATGGCACTAAAGCAACGCACTGCTAACACAATATATAAGTAAAAGAATACTGCTAGTTTCGCGTCCGAATGTATTAATTTAAAACCTTAGAATATATTCTAATATTTAATTATAATTTGTTATACAGCTCCTCAAAGCAGCAGCAGCAATTCTCCCAATCATTTTTTCTTGATAACAGAACTCTCAAACCAATAATGACCGAAGCCCCAATGCAACCTCTGTTTGTAATTCAGGTGTGTACAATACTGCCATTACTCTGCAAGTACAACAAGCTATCAGCACCTGTCACTACACACTTGTCTGTGTAGAGAAGCCAACGGAGCTAGCCACGCTCAATAAACAACTACATATCTATAAATCAACACCATTAAACGTCAATCGGACAATACAGTATACATATACATCCTTAACACACATGCACGGATGATTTCAGAATTTGCTGTTAACGTTTTCATGACAAAAATACTGTTTCAATGTGACAAAAAGCGATTGGGAAAAACCCGGAAGTTACCATGAAACAACTAGCTAGCTTAGCTGATACCTGCCTAGCACGTCCCGGTGAAACCTTTGGGAGCTAACTATTTTATTTGCAGTCATTAAATACATTTCGAATTACAAGGGTTGTCTAATATTTGTTCAAATTATTTTATTCAATTATTTTGTTCATCATTTTTATTTTAGAATTATATTCGAATTTGAAGTCCTGGTGTTAAGCAGCGCTGTAGAGGCTAGAGGACGCAGGCTGTTCGCTGCTCGTTCTGTGAGCGGAGGAGAAAGAGCGGCCCGCTCAGACTCTACTCAGCACTTTTCACTGCTTGTAATTCTTACACAGCTGAATCAATTACCTCAAGTTTTCAATTAAATGTTGTATTATGATACAACTTGTATGTAGTAAAAAGCATTTTTATGAACTACTTAGAAAAAAAATTGGGTATAGCTTCTTTAAGCTGTATAACAATCACTGATGAAATGGTACATAAGCAACGCACTGCTAACTAAATATATTACTGAAAGATTACCGCTAGTTTTGCGTCCGAATGTGGTCCGGGCATAGATAGTCCGAGGCGGTCCCGCTTCAGCAGGTCTCTACCATAGACAAGTCTCTCCAGAGGATACGATGTAAGCCATCTATGTTCACCCGGGCTTAGTTTCTTCTTTGAACATTTTCTCGCTTTAGTTCTTCTCTTCCTCACTGTTGTGTCATTTGGGCTGTTTTGCTGTGTCTGTAGCAGTGATGGGCAAGCTACTTGATTTGTGTAGTGAGCTAAGCTACAAGCTACTCTACAATAAATTCAGCTTCACTACACAGAAGCTACCACCCATACAAATGTAGCAAGCTAAGTTACAAAATTCTGTCAAAAGTAGCTTGCTATATAGAAGCTATGTTCAATTAAACAAACTGCAGCTCATGCAATTTTTTATTTTCCTGCATTAAAGCTGCACTAACTGACTTTGGGATTTTGAAGCCGCGGACTCGCTGGCCTCGCTCTTTCTGCTCCCCTCCCCGCACCCACGAAGCTATCGCCCCCCACACACACTCACTGTTGTTGACGGAGCTAGCCTCTCCCAATATGGATAATACATGGATATGGATTTTCACGTGGATGGCGTGACCATAGAACGATAGAACCGGGAAGCGCGGCGGAACGAGACTTTCTTTTGGATGGATGTTTCGCTGTGTAAGCAGTAACCGGTGACGAAGACGAGAAAGTTTCAGGTTAGCTCCGCCGCTTGTTGTGCTAACTCAGCCGTCTATGCTAACGGACCTGGAGATTTCTCACGAAAGTGGGGGCTAGTGGTCCGCTGTGATTGGTCACAATCTGCGACCCGAAACACATTCTCTTCCTTGTTTCATCAAAACTCGATCGAAAATATAATGTCAGGCCAGCACAAATCTGCGCTACTTTTTCTTCAAAAGGACGTATATCCCAATGCACTACATGGACATGGATAGCATTTTCGTAATTAATACGAAAATAAAGTCAGTTAGTGCAGCTTTAACATGTTTGCTCATTTCTTATTTTTTGCACAATTCTTGAGTGTTGTATCCATGCCAAATGTGACATGTACATTTCTCCTGTGTGAGATTAATAAAGCTTATCTTCTTATTTGAGATAAACTGTCAGTCAGATAAAGGTTAAAATGTTGTAGATATTTATTGAACAATAGCCCAAAACACCAAAAACAACAAAGAGTAGGCATCTGAAAACATATTTCTTTTCGCTCACCTCGACTAGAGTGACGTACTTTTGGAGGTATGGCCACGGTACAACACTTTGAGAGTCCTTATCATGGTCCTCCTCCACCGCGGCGGCTTCTGGGCTCTCTGCCATGCTTTTGCTTCCCCCAGTAGCGCGCGCATGCGTGCGCGCGTACGTTTGTGTGCGTGTGTCGTTACCAAGCCCTGCGCATGCGCATCAGCATTCTGTCTTTCTATATGTTTGTTTTATGCTGCGGGAAAATGCTGTAATATATGAACATCAGAGATGTCCGTGAGAAAATAGCTTTGGCGGACGCTACCGCGCTACTTGAGCAATAATATAGCTTAGCTACAGAAAAGTTACTAGGTTTTGTAAATAGTGACGCTACTGTCAAGCTACTGAAAAATGTAGTTAAGCTAGTAGCGACGCTACTGCCCATCACTGGTCTGTAGTTACAGCCAGAGGAGTTATAGAAAATTCTGCTAACATGCTACTGTGTTTAGCAGCGCTGTAGAGGCTGGAGGACGCAGGCTCGTTCTGTGAGTGGAGCAGGATGATCGGCCAAGTCTCTACTCAGCACTTTTATACGGCCTGAGTTCATACACAGCTGAATCGATGAGCTCAAGTTATCAATTGAATTACAGATTATAATACAACTTGTATGTAGTAATAAGCATTTTTATGAACTCATTAGAAAAATCGGGTGTAGCTTCTTTAAAGCAACAAAAGCCACTTTTTTAGATATATTAAACAGAAATAATGAAACAAAGTTGTCTGGGAGCTTTTTGGGACAAACAATAATTATAATATGAATGCATATCATTTATAACGCAGCATTCAAATGCTCAAGGTGCTACGGCAGGTTAAAATCACTATCAGAGCATCAGAAAAAGTACAAACAAGTTTAAGAATGGATAAAAAGGCAGAAGGTCAAACCTGACACCAAGGTTTGTACCACAGGGGGAAGGTGAAGTGTGGCCAGAAAAACGGACGCAGTTTACAGACAGAGAACGGCGTTGATATGGAGAGTTTTTTGGCAGGTTGTATGTGTGCTTTGTGGGAGATGAGAGCGAACTCAAACAGGATCTGTAAACAAGTCTCACCTGTCCTTCTGTTGGATCACAGCAAAGGTTTTACGAGCCTTCTCTTTGGACATCAGAATCCTAAAAAATAAACAATTACTTATTATTATTTTTCACGTTATTTTTCATCATCAGTTTGTGGGCCCTGTATGAACCCAGCCAAAATCAAGCCTTACTTCTTCCTCTGCGAGTCAACAACCTCCTTTGAATTTCCGGTGTTTTCTGGTTGAACCGGTTTCACCAAAACCTTGGGAGTAGCCTTAGGAGCTTTCTTGACTGGCATAAGTGTTTTATTTTATAAAATAAAATATACAACAGAATATAAACATTAGAAGAGCTGATCTAGAAGGCGTTTGTAGAAATGTAGTAGTTTCAAAGGAAGCAGAGCAGCACGAAACTCACATGATAAAGTCATGTTCCATAATTTCAGCAGCAGTGATTCTGTCAGATTCTTCAAGATAGAGCATGCTCTCGGCCAGGTCCAAGCATTCAGTCAGCTCTTTAGGGTTCTTCATGTAGTACTGTAAAAAAATGGCATCATGCTATGAATAAAACACAAAACTCTAAATTTCAAAATATTTCCCAATTCCAGAAAATGTCAGCTCAATAAACTTACCGGGACTAGTTCGGTCTCTGAAGGACATCTTTCAAAGTATAGATGTGTCAAAGCCGAACGAAAATTGGGAAAGTCTTCGAACTCCTCGAGAGTCTAGAACAAAAGATACAAAGTATTTACTGTGTTGACATGAGCTGCTTAAGACATGACAGAAGAAAGAAAAATACGTTACCTTCAGCGCCCATCCACCTCCAACACGTTTGAAGAACTCTCTTGTTCTAAGACCTTTGTCCAGATCACAGGAGTTTGGCAGTCCAAGCAGTTTGACCATAGTCTCCATCTGAAAAGACAGAAGAATGAAACAGGTGTAACTTTCTCGAGTTTAGGAAAGTGCAAATACTTTAGAGCAATGTTGGGCTTACATTTTTGAATTCACTCTCGTTGGAAAACATTTGAACTCTGGTGACCATTTGAACCAAAGTGCAGCCTAAGGACCAGATGTCTATGGACTGATTGAACGGGAGTCCCAGGATGACTTCAGGAGCTCTGCGTGGAACAAAACATCTTGTTAACAGAAACTTTAAAGAACAAAAATAATGCATTATTGTTTTTCGAATGTTACATCGTAAAACTTGCCAAAACTAATGTGTTTGAAATGGCAGAAAAACGGTCATGAACTGTGGGTCTGACCAAATAGAAGCCAATTGTGGGTATCGTGAGAACAGCCTCTTACCTGTACAGTGTTTCCCACAGGTTTGAAGGCAATGTGTGGTGGTCGTCGGCGGGGGGGGGGGGGGGGGGTGGTACAGTGGTACAGTGGTAGAGGACAATCTTGAGGCCATGAATCCAGTGAAATTAGTCGCACACCTTTTTACAGTAATAAGTTACAGCAGATCAAAAGTGACATGTTTTGACAATTTTTAGGCTATTTTGGACCAAAATGGCTACTTTAAATCAATATTTCTCAATATTTCTACAGTAAAAGTGTCTGGTCTTTGGTACAGTGGTAGAGGACAATCTTGAGGTCATGAATCCAGTGAAATTAGTCGCACACCTTTTTACAGTAAAAAGTTACAGTAGATCAAAAGTGACATGTTTTGACTATTTTGGAGGTATTTTGGACCAAAATGGCTACTTTACCTCAATATTTCTCAATATTTCTACAGTAAAAGTTTCTGGTCTTTGGTACAGTGGTAGAGGGCAATAATAAGGTCATGAGTCAAGTGAAATTAGTCGCACACCTTATTCCAGTAAATAGTTACAATACTTGAAAATTGCACTAGCGGACCAAATTGTGTACTTTATACATGTAAACAATAGAGTGGCTATCCTCCTGAGGACTCACAATCTGCAGGAGGAATCGTAGGGGGCTGGTGCTATGTGTGCCGGGTGGCATCTCTATAAGGTTTTAATCACAAAAACGTGTCTCCCTGACCCCAGCGCGCTTTCTGTTCGATAAAAATGGGTGACTCCGAAAGGACGTTCCGCTGTTACCGTAAGTTCTCAACAAAACGCGCACCGTCTTTTCCCCGATGCGGGCCGCATGTTCATAGAGCTGAAAGATGCGGGCCACTTTACCGCGGTAAATTAATAGACACAGCTGCTTACAGCGATGATCGCTGATGGAGACGGAGACACGCGGTGTGCACGAAGGGGAGGGGCTGTGTGTGTGTAGGTCTCTGTATGTGGGAGAGACGCGTAGCTTGAGTGAGAGTTACGAAGGGCCGCCACATTTTAAACCCCCCTCCCCGCTGTCAAATTGACCGCTGCGGCGGCACTAGACGATGCATGTTTTAAATAGCGTAACAAAAAAAATATATATATAATAATACGAAACGCAATTTGTGGCGGGCGGTCTCTAATCTGTGGCGGTGCGCCACAGATTAGTCTATGTGTGGGAAACACTGCTGTATGCGAGCTGCTGCACCCTCATGCCTGCCTTGGCCTTCTTTGTCCGAACCACAGAACCAAAATCAGCCAGTTTGATTGTGGGAGTTTGTGCGAACAGACTGCAGATGAAGATGTTTTCTGCTGTGACCCCAGTGTGGATAGCCTTTATACACTCCAGGACTTGTAATGCATTGACCGTCTGTAATAGTTGTAACATTGAATTAATACATGGAAGAAAGACATGTCAGCCTTCAAATATTAGATATATTATATATCTTAATATATTCTTGGAAGGACTATTTAATGAGTTTTGGAGACTGGACACCCCTGCATTACAGTATAACTTCTTACCTGCTTCACAATGCTCCGGATGTGTCCCAGTGGTAGAGGGTAGCGCTTGTCGATGTAGGCAGACAGATTCATGTCAAGACATTCCATCACCAGAACCTTTCCATAACTGGTTTGGATCGAGTCTACGAATGTGACAATATTTTGATGATCCATCCCAGAGTTTGTGATCTTCTGGAGCAGCCTGACCTAAATGGTTGGACAGTATGGTTTGAGTAAGTTATTTGTGTGAACATTTATGAACATTGTTTTCACCTTTAGACCAATGACTTTAATTGTTTTAATGGTATATTTCTTATTTATTTTAATTGTTTGATCGAGGCCTCCTGCATTCTGTTCAAATACAGAAGCCTCGGAACTGGGTGTATTGGCTATCTCAGAGAAAAGATCTTACAACCAATCTTCAGCCCAATCACAAAATGGGAAGTCACATGTATACACATATAATATCATTCTAAATTGTATCCACTGCATGAAGTGATGGTATTATCACACGTGTGAATGCGTACCTCGCGCTGAGTCCGGTTGTTGGAATACGGCACCTTGACTGTCACAAACTTGTTGATGCTCTTGTTTTTGCATTTGACAAACTGCCCGAACTTTCCAATGGCCAACATCTTAATGACCTTGTATTCTTTAGGAAGAATGTCATTGATCTCCAAACAACTCAAAGGCCTAACCAAAGACAAAAACAGTTACATAATGACTTTGCCCTTGAGCTTTGTCCTTTAATAGTAGGTAATGTTTCTTACATGTGCTCCTCCTCTTCCTCGCTGTGAGCTGAATTTGTTAAGTCATCCTTTCTGTTGAGTTAAGAAATGAGTTATTATTTGCGGAGATGGGGAGGAGGTTTGCGTTGTGAATTAAGCTGCTGCATGGATGGAGCTTCTGCCTGATATGAAGCTTGATTCGAGGCAGTGCTTGATTGCTGCTAGGTGAGAATTTGTGTGTGGTGATGCAGTTTAGAGTGATTGACAGATACTGTTGCTGTGAAGCAACAGTGGGAGGACTTTGAGCGGTTTACATACAGGGCTTGTGACAGCGTATGAGGCACCTTTGAACTTTGCCTCTTTACTCAAATTTATTGTAATTGTAAAATAAATGGCTATCACACATAAAGCCAAGCACTTCACATAGCAAAACAAAAATAAAGCCGCAAGCAGCAATGAATGGCTCTGGCACGACACTGTAAAAATATTGGAAGATATTTTTTGTTGTCATTGTGAAAAATATAAAAGAAAACTTAAAGAAATCTGAAGTAAAAGAACAAATAAAAAGTTTAATTTGTGTCAAAACCTACTGTTCATGACAGATGGCTGGGTGTTGCAGGATTTGTTTGGGAGTAATCCTGTCGTTCATGTCCATGTCCAACAGCTTTTTGAGGAGGTCTAAGGCTGGTTCTGTGTTCACTTCGTCCTCCTCCACAACGTCCTAGAAACAAGTCATGGACAGGTCAGTGTTGTCTCCACTTTGGAGGAAGGTAAAGCGACAGTATTACCGTGATCAGTTGAGTGAGGGAATCGAAGGATTCTGAACCGTCGTCCTCTTTAATTTCATAATTCACAGAAGCCTTCATGTCCTCTCGAGTCTAGAAGAGTTGGTTACATAGCAATTACATAATTCAATTGTTTTTTTATATTTTTTTATGGCAAAAACCTAAACAGAATGAATAAATTTACCCTTAAGTTCCATCCGCTGCGACTTCTTCGGTAGAAGTTGATGGTATTACTCCCTTTATTGAGGAGGTGCTCAGGAGGAGGACCAAGTAGTTTGTGCATCACTCTCAGCTATATCCAGAAAAAGACACATTTGTGTTAGCACATTTTAGGACACATTACTCACAACTTGTCCAGTTTGTCCAGTAACTTACAGCCTCATACTCCACATCAGGGAATAAATTAAACCCAAGCCACAATTGAGACATGATGAGTCCCAGGCACCACACGTCCAGGCCTTCGTCCCAACCAGAGCCTAAAATGACTTCTGGCGGCCTGCGGAAGAGAACAGAGTAATTCAAAAATATGATGTAATACAATACAATACAATATAGTTTATTGATCAAAACCTGATACTTAAGCGAGTTAGTCCCAACCCTATCAGTCGCCCCCTGCTGGTTATAGCTGCTGGTGCCTGACTTACCTGTACGTCACATGGTGGATCGTCAAAAATCTCCCAGTCTCACTTGCGGGGATGGTCAAACCAAAGTCGATCAGTTTGACGTGCAGAGGCCTCTGAGTATGGTTCACCACCATCACATTGTCCCTCTTCAGGTCTGAGTGGACCATGGAGCGCTCTCTGAGCACGTCCAACGCTGTGGCCACCTGCAGCAGAAAATCATAAATCAATAATGGTTCCCAAAGTCAGTGTTTTAAAAGGACTTGATGTAATGACCTGTTGCACAATGATGAAGATGTCCGACAGAGGCAGAGGATCATATTTGTCCACGCCTTGTGTATTGTTGCTCCGCTAATTGATCCACTGTTTTTGATTCCTGCCCTCCTCTGTCTCCAATGTTTGCTTCACTCCCTTTTGAAAAGTTTTCCAGTTTGGATAAGAGGCGGATGGAAATGTTCAGTTTCTTAACTCAAAAGAAATGCCCTGATTTATTGTATTTATTTATTTGGGTTTTAAAAGGAGGTACAATGCATATGAATGAACATTTGACCAATGTAAATATGCCAGATTATAGCTTTAGGCTAATTTCCATCTGCAGACCCCCTGCAGGTTGATGTTAACGAAGAACATAAAAACAAACAAGACGTAACAATACAAATCATGCAAAGAATACAATGTACACAAGATTATATACTGTACAGGACATGAACAAGGACTGAACACGTACAAACATGTGAGACAGTATACAACAACTGACAGAAGGACTTGAGACGATGGCTTTTAGTAAAGAGTAAATGGAATAAGATATGCAGAGAAGTATGTCAAGAGTAAGAATATTGCATCTATAGCGTAAGTTATTTAATCTTCTTTAAATGATTTTATATTTTCTGTAGATGAAGACTTATCTTATGACTGTCTCTGCTGCGTGGACACACGTTTTTGAGGACTTGGAGTCCTGTTCTGAGGTGGTGGAAGTGTGATGAGAGGAGTCTCTCTCCATGGTGCTGAAAGGGGTGTTCCCTGTATCGCTTCTGTCTGTCATTGTATATTTTCTCTCAGTGGAGAGGCATGATCAAAATTGATATGGCAAGATTAATTATGAGGATAAATAAATTATTTAAATCATAACACAGTACAACTTTTGTAAATGGTTAATAACAGTTGGTCCATTTTATCTAAACCTGTGTCTTACTATTGAGCTTTTTCATTTTCAATATTCATTTTTGAGTCCTTTGCTTTTTACTTTGTACACTCATGATTGTGTGTCCTCCTCTGACTCAAACTTGATCATCAAATATGCTGATGACACCACCATCATCGGTCTCATCAGTGACAATGATGAATCCTCTTATAGAGCAGAGATACAAAATGTGGTTCAGTGGAGTAAAACTAACAACCTCCAGTTGAACGCATCGAAAACATGTGAACTGGTCTACGACTTCAGTCGCAATAGTTCTCATTTGCCTGTCGTAATCGACAACTGCCAGGTGCAGATCGTAGAGGAGTGCAAGTTTCTGGGTTTAACTCTGTCTAACGACCTGAAATGGGTTAAAAACACTGACCGGGTCGTTAAGAAAGCTCGTCAGCGTCTCTACTTTCTGCGTAAACTTAGAGAATTTACCACTAACTCTAAGATTCTGCTGAACTTTTATCGCTGCACCATTGAGAGTTTACTTGTTGGTTCTGTGTCTGTGTGGTTTGGAAACATCACAGATAAAGAAAAGAGAGCTTTAAACAAGGTGCTCCGCTCTGCAAAGAGGACCGTGGGCTGTGAGCTTCCTGTTCTGGAGGTTCTTTATAAATCCAGACTTTTAAACAAAGCTCTTAGGATTGTCAATGACTCTTCTGGCCACCCTGGGAAAGCCATGTTCCAGCTTCTTCCCTCTGGCAGAAGATATCGCTCTCTGAGATGCAGGACATCTCGTTACGCTAACAGTTTTTATCCACAAGCTGTTATCAGTGTGAACAGAGCACTTTAAAGAGCGACTAAACACCAAATCAACTTTTTTTAACTCACAAACTGCATAAGTATGTTTATTGTAGTGCTGTCTACATATCCTGGTAATTTTTTGGACATTTTAGTTCAAATTAGATAAAATATCACTTTTGAGCCAAAAAAACGTCTGTGTGGCGCCCTCTCAACCTTTTTGGTGGTACTACATTTGAATTTGGTTCTGGCCTCTCCATTGACTCTGAAGTTCTCTATGACATCAGTTGTTTTGTGTGACGTCAGTCTGTCAGAGCCAGTGATGTGAACCCATTCAACTCTCACACACGCCCCAGCTGCAGTTTGGAGTATTCTGGCGCCATCTAGTGGATTAAAATTAAATTACATGAGTCATTCTGAGATTATTGAGTGTGATTAGGTTCAGGTGTGTAGCTTTACAATTATCTTAGTGTGTAATCAAGGGTGGAATGAGACTTTCTGGTCTGTAAACTATTGCTTTAAGCAGCAATGACAACTGTCTGTTTTTTTTTTGTGTGACAAGTGAGCTGTCAATCACAGCCCAGACCACGCCCAACTCTAAGCCCCCCTTCTTGTCCCTTGGTCCTCCAGGCAACGCCCTTTTTAGAGAAAATTTTCAAATCTTCATGTGGGCGGAGTAAGGCTGGGCACAGGTGTTTAGTCGCTCTTTAATGATTTGCACTTGTTTTGAAACTGTTTTAGTCGATCGATTTCACAGTGACATTTGTTTACTGTTTTATTTGTTTTATTTTTGTCTTTTAATGTTTTTTTTATGTCTGTATTTGTCTGTGCACACTGGAGACTTTTGCTAATGTATTCCAATGTGTTTTTTTTTTACTGCAAATGGCAAATAAACTGAATCTGAATCTGAATCATTTTCAATAAGACATATTTATATGGAATTTAAATTGTATCTGTCTGCTGTCTGGAAGATGTTGGGCATTGACCTGACTGGACCACTGCCGACTTCCCAAGATGAATACAAGGACATCGTTACTGCAACAGATTATTTGAAGTGGGTTGAGGCTTATCCTTTGAAAACAAAGTCTGCTGCAGAAGTTGCCCAGAAACTGTGATAAAGGATTTACGGATTTGGATGTCCAACATGCATACTCTCTGATCAGGGGCGTGAAATTGTAAATGAGGCAACATACAACTGGGCGACAGTAGCTCAGTTGGTAGAGCATTGGCCTTAAGGCCAGAAGGTCATGGGTTCAATTCCCACCTCTGCACCTTCTCCACCGACTCCCACTGATCACTGCTGTCGTTGTGTCCTTGGGCAAGACACTTAACCCCACTTTGCCCAAAGCCCCCGCAGAAAGATCAAGGCTATGCTCACACTCAGAGAGCAGCCGTTCTCCTGTGGACTCACCACCTGCAGAGGGTCAGTGAGGGGCTGGTGCTATGAGACTTGGGTGGCATCTCGTTCATGACTGCCACCCCCCTGACCCAGAAATGGATTAAAGGGTAGAAAATGGATGGATGGATGGATGGCAACATACAACTTAAATGCCTGAATATCATTTCATGCAATAATTGTATATAATGCTGTCAGCTCAACACTAAACTCTGTGACCTTCTGTGCATTGAGCAGAGTGTAACGGCTGCTTATCATCCTCAGACAAATGGATTGGATTAAGAAAAACAAATCACAGCATAAAACAGTCATTTATCTAAAAAAACATCAAACGATTTGTCAATATCAAACCTCATTATAAAAGGACTTTACACTTCGTATTCCTTGCTTCAACGAGCACAGGGACTGGACTCCTGTTAGTGCCCAGAGTCAGAACTAAACATGGGGAGGCTGCTTTTCAGATTCCTGCTGCTAAAATCTGGAACAGTCTTCCTGAAGATGTGAGACAGGCCTCCTCTCTGACAATGTTTAAAACCAGGTTAAAGACAGTTCTGTTTAGCTGTGCATACAACTGAGGGATTTTATATTTTTATCTTTCTTTTTAATGTTCTGTGATTATTTATGATTTTAATGCTTTCTTGTTCAGCACTTTGAATTGCCTTGTGTATGAATTGTGCTACTGTATATAAATAAACTTTCCTTGCCTTGCCTTGCCTATAGTGAATGGAAACAGAGCTCTCAAGAAGATGGTTAATGTTTATTTGGAGGCGACTTTATTTTCGCTGAGGTCCAAGCCCCACTGGTCCACAAAATACAGCCCCTTCAGGTTGATGTGCGGCCGGGTGTTTCCAGCAGAGGTTCCTGTGGATATCCCAGTAAGCTTGATCGAGGCAACCTGTAATTAATTGTTACCACATTAAATATTATGTAAAATATCTTTTGTGCTTCCCATTGTGCTTCCTGAGGAGGAGGATGATGTGGAGGCATATTTTAACTTGGATCAGCGGGTAGAGATGAGTGTTTGACAAATGTTGAGGTCAACACAACACAGTCCTAACAGAAGCAGGGCAGAGCAAATGGAAAACGTCAATAAAAAAAATGAACGAATCCTCCGTGGTCCAAGACATTGTCCAGAACGTAATTCTCAGGCAGTGCCTCCAAAATACTGTTTTTGCTTAGTTTTGCCATTTTGACTGGAAAACTGAAACATCAGCTTAAACTTTCTGTATTCATCTTATCAGAAAGCATGTTGAGGTCTGATTTGTTCATAACATTTTACTTTGACGAAATTCTTTCTGTGGGAGGAAATGTCATGTGTGTAAAAATCAAAACAGTTGGGTACCTCAGTTTTAAGTATATTCATTTGGCTTTTCACCAGCAGTACACTACACTACAGTGGGTTGCAAAAGTGTACATACAAAAAACTGTTGCGCATTTGCCATTTTAGTGCAAGTTTTTGTGGCAAGCGGTTTAATCATCACATTTGTTTTACCAGTAATTTTAACATTCGTAAATTTGTCAAAACAAGACACGTTCTCTATGCACGTTTTGATTCTCCTTGAGTCTTTTACTTTGTTCCAGCGGTAACATGCACTGAGCCCGATCACTTCATGTGTTTTCCTTAAGAACCACATTAACCACACTTTTGGTGGTTCCTAAAGTGTCAATAAGCACAGTTGGAGGCAGAGCATTTAGATTCACTCTGGAATCAGCTCCCCATCCACGTCAAGGAAGCAGACACAGTCTCTACATTCAAGGCCAGGCTTAAAACAGCATATGGTTAGGTAAGACTCGGGTAAGACTTAGAAAATACAACTTTAAAGGTATATAGGAGGATTTTCTACTTC